GCTGAAATGCGTTCAACAAAAATGGCGTGCAATTTAAATCAGTCAGTTATATATTGGCCACCATGTAGCAATATTTCGGATGCATATAGAAGATAAAAATATAATGCCACAAGCTTCTATAAAATTACACTCTAAGGGAGATTACTGTAAGTAGATTTTCTTAACTTTTGAACGCCACTATACAGGGTGTTTCAGTTTATTGTTGCATAACTTTGAGATTCGATAGAACTTTTAAAATTAATGCATAAAGTCTATATAAACATGGGTCGAAAAATGCGTGGCTTCCGAAATACAGGGTGTTTAAATTTACTTTCTAAAATAGTTTTTTTTTAAAATATTTCGAACAATATTTGATGTATAACAATGAAAATTGGTATGCAAGGGTTTTTTGGTACGACAAAACGAACCATGGCCATAGTTTTACTGTAGCCGCTAGAGGGCGCTCTCTACTGTACCTGTAGTGTATTAAAATGACCGAAAATTTTTTCTTAGTGCAATTTTTTGCTTTTTGAATAAAAAAACTGATTCTTCGCACTTTTTAACATAAAAAAGCTCTCCTGTGAGTTTTCGTTATAGTTAGCCGTTTTTGAGATATTTCGATTTTTAAGGTTCGATGCATTTTTAATTATTTATGGGAAAATAATATTTTTTTTACATTTTCGATTTGGGCATTATAAGTAATTAAGATGATCGTTTAGATTGTGTTTTTAAACACAGCAATAATTCTTAACTCCAAATAAACACAAAAAAAAAACAGAATATTAATTTGTTTAATTTTCCAATATTATACTAAGTACTAAATCCGAACATCCAGTTTAAATGGTTTTATTTTAATAAAATTTTGTATAAGTACTTAATGAAGCATAATAAGTAAATGATAAAAATTTCAAAATGATTGCACTGCTTTAAAGCCCTTTGACCTTTAATAATGTGTGGATGCACCCTGATGTGCTATGCATTCTCAAACGCGCCTAGGCATGCTTCTGATCAGGTGGTCAATGTCCTCCTGTGGTATCTCATTCCAGGCAACCACCAACTCCTCTCGAAGTGCTTCTAGAGTCTGAGGAGGACGTTGCAAATTTAGCAATCTCCTACCCATCATATCCCACACGTGCTCAATTGGGGATAAGTCGGGAGATCTTGGTGGCCATGGTAACAATGTGACATTATTATGTTGAAAGAAGTCTATTGTGACTCTTGCAACATGTGGTCGGGCATTATCTTGTTGGAAAGTTGGATCTGCCAGGGTGTCAAGATAGGGTAAAAGATTGGGTTCTAGAACTTCGTGGATATAACGCTGCGCGTTCATGTTACCTCTGATGAACATTAAAGGTGACCTGGAACCATAAGCTATAGCACCCCAAACCATAACTCCAACAGTGTGATGAACATGTCTTTCAACAAAAAACTGTGGATTCCTCCTTTCACCACGTCGCCTTCTAACCCTGGCACGACCATCGTGCATGCCTAAACAAAATCGAGACTCGTCACTAAATACAATACTGTTCCATTCCTGATCCCAGAGTGACCGTTGTCTGCACCACTCAAGGCGATTACGTCGGTGTTCTCGAGTTAAAGGGAGGACCCAGTGTGGCCGGTATGAAAACAAGCCAAAACTTCTCATTCGTCGGTAAACACTTCGCTTGCCAATAGGTCTTCCGTGTTCTGCAAACCATTCATTTGCAATGGTAGTGGAGAAACGGTCCCTTAAGGCCAATAATCTTAGGCGGCGATCTTCACGGTCTGTTGTTCTACGGCGGTGTCCAGGGCCCCTTGCTCTTTGCGCACGGCCTTCTAGAAGCCATGCCTGACAACACCTAACCACAGTGTCTACACTTCTTTGCACTCTAACTGCAATTGCCCGAAAAGAAAGTCCAGCTTCCCGAAGTCCCACTATACGGCCCCTATCAAACTCACTAAGTTGACGAAATCGTACAGGTCTCCGTACTCTAGGCATCGTAACCGATCGTAAAGGATGTCAAGAACCAAAATCCGCCAACGTTGATTCTTTACTGCGGCTGAAATATTCATTTTTAGAGCGTTAGTGAATTAAAAAAAAGCAGTATAAAAACCGGAATGTCCAACTGATAAGGCTGAAAATTTTTTCACTTGTTATTTACAGTAAGATAAATACATTCACACAACTTTTATTAAAATAAAACGATTTAAACTGGGTGTTCGGATTTATATGTCACTTAGTATATTTTTAACAAATTAAATTAATTATTTACAACTAAAATGCTATTGGATAATTAGGACAAACATACAAAATTTAAAGTAGTTGCTCGAAATGTAAACCCAATTGTTCAATACACAATTCACATCTACGGATTATCGAACGTTGTATAGCATTATTCAAATAAGGACTTATTTCATCACATGCATTCCTGATTCTGCCTATTAGCATATCTCTTGTGGTTACGGGAGTCTGGTACACTTTTTCTTTTAGAAATCCCCACACAAAAAATCTAATGGATTTAGGTCAGGGGATCGTGGAGGCCAGGCGACTGGTCCTCCACGGCCGATCCATCTTTCTGGATAATTTTCATCCAGCCAGTTTCTAAATATTCTCGAATAATGAGCTGTACAACCATCAAGCTGGAACCAGGCCAATCTTCTTAAATCTAACATAACATCATCCCACATATTTGCATGTTCAGCCTTTAAAAATTCCAAGAAGGTCGCAGCGTTTAACCTTGTAGGCAAAACGTAGGGTCCAAATAGTCGATTACGGTAGATACCAATCCACACTTTTACACTAAATTCATGCTGAACATTTCTTTCCCGAACTGCATGCGGATTTTCATGCGACCAAATATGTTGATTATGAAAATTTACCACTCCACGTCTAGTGAAGCATGACTCATCGGTCCATAAAACGTTACTTAAAAACTCCCTATTATAATCAGTTCTATCAAGAATCCACTGACAAAATGTGATTCTTCGTTCTCCGTTCCCTGGCTGTAGTCCTTGCACAGGTTGCAAATGGTAAGGACGTCTATGGTAATTTCTAAGAACACGGTGAACATGGCTTGCGAAATTCCCAAGGCACCAGAAACTCTCCTAACACTTGTGGTCGGATCTCTATCAAACTCACGCAGAATCATACGGGTAAATCTGCGCTGACGAACATTTATGTTTTGATCCCTTTGGAGATTCCCAAAACCATTTTCAATTATTTGTCGATGCACTCTTACAAATACTGAGCGAGTTGGATGTCGTCTGTTTGGAAATCTTCGTGCCTATTCTCTGGCTGCTTCTGCTGCGTTTCCATTTACAAAGCCATACACAAAATGAATATCCGCTAACTCTTGATTTGAGAATAAAAATGGCATTTATATAAAACTAACAAAAAAAAAACAGGTAAAAGAAACTAAATTTCGTGCATTCACAATTGCAAAAAAACGTTTTTGCTTTCAACAGACAACAAAACTAACTGTCACCTAATTGACGTTTAACCTTATTCTGCTTTCAATTTCAAAAATATTTGCAGGCACAGCCTACTTCTAAAAATTATCGAGATACTGACTTTTTAACGTTATTTTATCATAAATAATTAAAAATGCATCGACCCTTAAAAATCAAAATATCTCAAACGGCTAACTATAACGAAAACTCACTTATGTTGAAAAGTGCGAAGAATCAGTTTTTTTATTCAAAAAGCAAAAAATTGCAGTAAGAAATTTTTTTCGGTCATTTTAATACACTACAGGTACAGTAGATAGCGCCCTCTAACGGCTACAGTAAAACTATGCCCATGGTTCGTTTTTTCGTACCAAAAAACCCTTGTATACCAATTTTCACTGTTATACATCAAATATTGTTCGAAATATTTAAAAAAAACTATTTTAGAAAGTAAATTTAAACACCCTGTATTTCGGAAGCCACGCATTTTTCGACCCATGTTTATATAGACTTTATGCATTAATTTTAAAAGTTCTATCGAATCTTAAAGTTATGCAACAATAAACTGAAACACCCTGTATAAACTAACTAAATTTCAACAGCATAGTAACTGGTGATAGCCTCATATAATTGTCTAACAGAAATAATTGATTTGTTTAGCTCGCCATAAAACCACTCTATGGTTAGTATAACTTTGACTCAAAAGTATTTTTGGTGAGCCTGAATTCTTTAGCTGGAAGGCTCTTTTATAATTTCGATGAAAGTAGCTGTTTCTGAGAAACACCTTTTTTCTCTTAATCTTCATTAATTTACGCTGCAGCCGATTACCAAAAAGTTCTGCAACAGCCTGAAACTCCATTAAGTAATTTAATATTAATATCCTGGACATATTTCGATTTTTAATTACCAGAATATTGTCATAATTACGACGTCTTTTTGTAAGTAAGAACCATTTTGTAATGGAGCCACAGTAACTCTATTTCTGAACGTAAATTGTACCACAAACTAATATACCATATGAACATTTTTTCATTTTTCAACATGGTCACTATAAACATTGCATAGTTATGACAACAGCCATTGGATTTAGTCTTCAAAGAATGCTGCCACCTCACCGTTTAACCAGATAGTAATTGTTTCTTTAAACATGACAAGCTGCTTAATTTCAACAAGGTATTTGCGTTTTAAAACCGAATTTCAGAGCGCACTACACAATGGGCGGGCTTACTTATTGACTGGCGGCAAACAAAGCACGATAACCACATCACACAACCAACACCGACAGAGACATTAAACGTAAATGGTGGCGTAGTGAGAGACTGGTCCACGCCAAGACTGTCTGAGGTTGAACGGACGTCACGTGACGTGGGTATGAAGCGCAATCGGTTCATACTCTAAGAATGGCAGTCGCATATTGTCACAATGGCGAAACAAATATACTGGATACTGGAGATGTGTGTTGAATTAGTCCTATGCGGACCTGTATCTTCATAGAGGAGATGCGTAGGACGTTTTTATATTCTTTTTTTTGAACCTTGTAATGTATGTTGCTGATTGGCGGTTGACTTGGTGCTGATCTCAAGTTTTCTTTTCAGCTCATGATGACGCCAGATCCAGTTATCGAGTTTCTCAAACAGTCGCTGCCCTGTCGCGATTCTCAAATCGATCAACTCTACAATCTCCTAGCTCACAAAGATCATCTCACACCCCCATGCATTTACGTCTATGGAGGTGCTAGTACTGGAAAAACTACCCTGGTCACCTCAATGCTCCAAAAACTTGAAATCAAACACGCTATAGTTAACCTCGTCGAATGCTACACATCAAAGATCCTATTCGAAAGTATTTTGAACAAGCTTTCCGATCACAAGCTTGATCCTACAAATCCTGTACCTTACGCCAGGTGTGACAATCTTATTGACTTCATATCCCACTTACAAGCTATCGAAGGTTTAGATAGATCAGTTATAGTACTGGATAAAGCCGAAGAATTGCGAAACATGGAAGTTAACCTTCTACCAGGAATTCTGAGGATCAGAGAACTAACTAACCTAAAGATAACAATAATTCTCATATCAGATATTGTGTTTGAAAAATACTACAACAAGTCAACGAATATAGAGCCATTGAAAGTATATTTTCCACAATATAACAAAGATGATTTGTTGGAGATTCTCACTCTGGATCTCGATTACGTCAGAAAATTGGCGGAAGAAACTTCTGTCGACTTCGATGTTGAGTTTTATAAAAACTACTTGAATCTGTTTCTATCGGTGTTCTATAGAGCATGTAGAGACTTATGTGAACTTAGGCACATGTCCAGATCTAATTTTATGAAATATATCCAACCAGTTGTTCAAAAACAGTGCAGTGTTACTGACTCTATGTCTTTGTGGAGAAACATCTCGCCCATCTTGAAAAACTCTCTTGAAGTTCTCTACCTGAGAGTAGATGTTACAAGTGAGCAAATGAAGAGTGCAGCTCATAGCTTAGAGCTACCATATTACGCTAAATACCTTTTGGTAGCGGCATATCTTGCAAGCTACAATTCTGCCAAAGATGACAAAAAGTTGTTTGTTAGAGATGCTGGTAGGAAGTCAAGAAGTGTTAGAGATGTTAAGACAAAAAGTAAAGTTTCTGAACAACTAAATACTCAACTTGGACCAAAACCGTTTACATTTGATAGATTACTTGCAATTTTTTACGCAATTCTCGAAGAAAAAGTTGGCTTTAACAACAATTTGTTGGCTCAAGTGTCCAGTTTAGTAGAGTTGAGATTGTTGTCAACTATTGGGGATGGAACGTCACTTGATGGGCAAAAGTATAAATGCAATGTTAGCTTTGATTTTGTTCATAGTATTGCTAAGACTATTGGGTTCAATATAAGAAAGTATCTGAGCGACTTTAGCCATCTGTAGTGGAATGATTCAAGTCGTTTAATGTAACTTTTACCACCATTAGTATTTATATTTATTATAAATTGAATTATACAGACATTTACCATTTATTTCTGAGTAATGCGTTACCTCCACCTTGTTTTAAATCATATACTTCGAATATCAGGTTTTCGTAAGCACATCATATGTGATGTTCCAAATAAAATTAATTGATTGACCTTTTTTGTATTCTAATAAAGAAGAGTTTTGCTTTTAAAGTTTATGAGTTTTATTTCAAGTAAGTAGGTAGGTTAGGGACAAAGTTTCTGTGGGATGCTCATAGCAGCCGCGGCTTCTGTCTGCAGGGCTGCTTCGGTGTAAAAAATATGGTATAGGCGAATGTCACGCGATCACTATTTACTGTGATCAGTCAGTATTTACCATATAATTTTATATTATTAACTGTGTGGCCGTGACATCAGTAATTATTTATTGATATATAAGATTTCGTAGTAATCCACTGACACTGACGGAATGATCAGCAAGTAGTGATGGTACGGACTACAGTAAATAATTTTCTTGTGACATTGACCATAAACTGAACTGAATCTATTGGGTTTCCGTCTCTGTAACCATGACCACCCGCGTACCACGTTGCTTCGTGGATTTCATAACGTCACCCCGGCATTTCAATTATGACACATTACGAGTATAAGATTCCTTATGTGAAAATCCCCCAAATTTAGAAGAAAATTCCCCAACATGACAACCCTGTCAAAGCACCACTGGTACTCCAGGCATCAAGCTTCGGGGTCGTTTTTAGAGCACGACCAGCATTGCGGTAGTAGCCCAGAGAAAAAAAAGGTGTTTAGCAAATATCTGAAAGTTTTTAATAAAACGGGCGGGGGTCTTTCTAATGACAAATACATAAAAAGATACAGCCAGATATGCGTTGTTTTTCATAAACAATGGGAAAAGCTCAAAATTCAGTATTAGTCTTAAATGAGTTTCAAATTGAATTTTTCAAATCGGTTAACTGGAGATTTTAGAGCATAAAAAGACCTTCAATTTTATTTTTTAGAATTAAAATCGATAAACAATTTAATTAAATGGGGCTTTTTAGCAATATTGAATAAATGCTTATAATTACTGCAATTACAATTGTAAATGGCTAAAAATGTGTGAGAATGAGGACATCATTGGTGTTAATATGTGTGCCAAATTTCAGCCGGATCGGTTTAATACTTTATATAAAAGGATAATTGTTTATTCCAGAGACGAATTATTTAAACAATTGCTCTTGCCCAAGATATGATCCTTGAACATTTTCCAAAAGTGAAAAGGATTCTTGAAGGTTTCAACTTCAAGAATTTATGCAAATAGTTAATTATTTATTTAAAAACTATTTATGTTAAAAATGGTGTTAAAAAGTAGCCATTTTTGGTTTCAACTTCAAGAATTTATTCAAATAGTTAATTATTTATTTAAAAATTATTTTTGTTACGAATGGTGTTAAAAATAGCCATTTTTATAGTTATAAACATTTACAATAACTTTATTTTTCAATATAATTTATTCTAACAAGCTGATATGAATAAGTGATGGAAAAACGCATATTAAAAAACCTTCTACGAGCAATAGGAGCCAAGAACTTTATTTTTTTAAATTCAAATCTTTGTTTATAAACATTAATTCTCGAAATTTTCAGAGATTTTAGTCAAGGATCTTAATTTTATGGACCAATTTATAATTTTACTATTAGTTCAAAGGTCTTTAAGAAACAGCCACCTAAAGTGAAGGCACTCGCGTAAGTATTTCCGGGTGAGGTAGTGGGGGAATCGGCTCCAACTGGATTTATTTTGTGAAACTGAGTCTTCAAATCGGAGCGCGCTGTAAAATTTTGCCTTATCTTGGCTGCCAAGCAACGTAGAACCTTATTTTTTTAATTTGGCTAACTCGTCCTAATAATGACATCTGGCACATTTTCATTTTCCTGGAAAATCGGTTAATAAGTATACTCTTAACAAATACACTCTAGTAAATTATTTTATTTGCATTTCTTGTGTCACAATAATATTATAATAATATTATAATTTTTTGTATTATGATACTTTATTATTTAATTAAATTTTTATTTGGGAGCTCTACTTCTTCAATATTTGTATAACTCATTTCTTCAAATAAGTCGCCGATATTCTCAGTCTGCTCTTCATAATCGTCAATTCCAATAACGGCAAAGTTGTAAATTTTTTTGTCATCATCACCATCATTACAATTTATGCACAAAGGTGTGGAACTTAACCCATGTTTTTTGCATCTACACCTACTCGTTTGGCAACCAGTAGTACATTTGCAGGAAATTTATTGATAGTATCGTCTGGCACTAAACTGTCCATAATATAGATCGGTTCGAAACCGTTGTCACTTCGCCTTCATCCGTACTTGGTTGGATCTAATTTATTTCCTAACCGTGTTCGTAACAGGTAATATACCCGTAGGAGGTTTTTTTAAATATGCGTTTTTTAACCACCTGTTCAGATTAACTTGTCAAAATAAATTATATTTAAAATAACGATGTTATTGTAAATGTTTATAATTATAAAAATGGCAATTTTTTAACATCATTTTTAATAACCATTTGAAATAAATAATTTTTTGCATAAATTCTTGAAGTTGAAACAATTTCACTTCTCTGTTCTGGGACCATATCTTGGGCAAGATCAGTTGTTTAAATAATTCGTCTCTGGAATAAACAATTAGCTTTTTACATAAACTATTGAACGGATCCGGCTGAAATTCAGCACACTTATTAACACCAATGATGACCACATCAGAAAATTTTTAGCATCTACAATTGTTATTGCAATAGTTATAAACATTTATTCAATATTGCTAAAAAGCCCCGTATTTAGCTTAATTGTTAAAGGATTTTAATTCTTAAAAAACAAAAGTGAATGTCTTTTTATGCTCTAAAATCTCCAGTTTACCGGTTATTTATAAAATTTAATTTGGAAATTATACAACCAAAATACTGAATTTTGGGCTTTTCCCATTGTTTATAAAAAAACAACGCATGTGTATTTTTATGTGTTTGTCATTAGAAAGTCATCCATTTAAAACTTTTAAATATCTGCTAAACTTTTTTCACCTTTTTTTATCTAGCCTAGACTATATAGTGTCCCCTGGTATATAGGCTCCGTGGCAGAATATGTATCAAGCTTTGGCGAACTTTTTGTGGGTGGCAGTCAGTGTTATCACCTATTTGAGCAAAATATTTGCCATGTCAGTGGAAAGCTTCAAAGCTGAAAACCTCTCGGAGCGTGCTACGACCAAGTTGGAAACTAGCTTCTATTTTTTGTGAAGCATAAATATACGTCTGATTCATCTAGATACATATATCTGTTTTGAAACAAAACAACCTTCGCTCATAGAAAGTTTCCTTAGGGACCAGTTTCGACCCCGACCGCGACCGACCGTCTGAAGAGCGTTTGCGAAACTTACTGACTAGCCTGGCGGTTTGCGTTCAACGCGGTGAAACTTTGGGGTTGTTATTTTAGTATTGGTCTACTACAAGTTTCTACCATTTATTTTCTATTAGTCCTGAGTTCTATGCACCAATGAACGTCCAGATTTTGGCATCGAATCTAAATTAATGAGCTTAAAGACTTAAATCTGATTTTTTAACTGCCTAAGGCGAGTAGAACTGGGAAATCCTCCTCAGGCAGATTGTTCCACAATCTCGACAATCTATGGATAAAAGAGCGGTCGTAGCGGCCATCCATCAAAACCGGCAGGGTTATTATGTAAAAAACCTTAATAATGTCAAAAATCCGATGAAATGTCAACTTACTGACTAGGTAATTCCTAGTGTGCAAATAGTTCATCTGCTATTGCTCGCTATGAGCATCACCAAAAGCGTCATATGTGGGGGAACGACTCAACGACGCTTCGCGCGATCTCGGCAACAACTATGTTCTATCTGAATTATAAGATCTATCTAAATAAGACAGCAGCACATACGAACCCCTTCCCACTTCAGTTGGTCCAACTATTGAAATCTTAGTTTTTTCCTTATCAATCACAATAAAAATGAAGCAGGGTGTTATAGGTTTAAAATATTAACAATGACTATTTTGATAATACATAGTAGAAAACACCGACTTTATCACTCCCTAATCAAATTTGCACCATAAAAATCACACATGTTGCAATTACAGCATATCAACCTAATTTCATTTCAATGCAAAATAAGCCTATAACGCATAGGTGGCTGTGTAAAATAAAAGCCATGAAAATTGTTTTTATTAATCACAGCTGTCAGAATACGTTTAAAATAGTTTTGGGTAGTTACGGTTTTCAAAATGGGTAGAGGAAAGGTTATTAGTGAGAAAATTCGGTTACTGATAATTAAACTTTTTAATTCTGGGAAATCAAACTGAGAAATTGCAAACTTTGTTAGACTTATCACGGTGCAGTGTGAGAAATATTGTTAGAAGATATAACGTAACTGGATCAGTTAATATTAAGCCACGATATGTGAAAAAAGTAATATCACAAAAGCCGACCGAAGAGTATTAAGAAGAATAATCGTGAAAAACAGGCGTGCCAATAATTTACAATTAAGTGCTCTGTGGAGTGACGCTATTGGAAGGAGAATTTCGAGGTCCACAATTCATAGAGAGGCCCACAAACTGGGATTTAGCACTTGCAAGGTAAGTTTTCTTATAAAAAAAAGTGAAGTAAAAACCCTAAAGTTGCACAACTTGTTTATAGGCCAAAGAAAAGCCACTATTAACTCCACTGCAAAAGAAAAATCGGCTTAGAGGGGCTAAAGAACATAGACAATGGACACCTCAACAATGGTGTGCAATAAAATGGAGTGATGAGGCTCGATTCGAAGTTTGTGTTGGTGACAGTCGCAGTAGAGTTATTCGCAAAAAAAATTAGGCATTCCATGTTGACTGTCTGAAGAGAAAAGTGAAATTTCCAGCATCCATTATGGTCTGGAATAGTATGTCATCAAAAGGAGTAGGAAAACTTCATTTTATTGATGGACATGTGGGTACAAACAAATATTTGGCAATTTTAGAAGAATTGCTTTTACCAGTAATGGAAGAATGTTTGACATCCGGCCAAGATTTTGTGTTTCAGCAAGATGGTGCAGCATGCCATACCTCAAAAATGGCTATAAAATGGATGGAGGAAAATAATGTACCACTTTTGAAATGGGTTTCTAGCAGTCCAGATCTGTCACCTATTGAAA